CAAGCTGGGAAGGATGATAAAGAGTCATTTCTGGGGATCCCTAGGTGGCTCAGCAGTTTAGCGCCGCCTTCAGCCCAGGGTGTGATCCTGGAGACCCGGGATCGAGTCCCACGTCAGGCTCCCTGCGTGGAGCCTGCTTCTCCCTCTGCCTGTGTCTCTGCTTCTCTCTCTCTCTTTCTCTCATGAATAAATAAATAAAATCTTAAAAAAAAAATAAAGAGTCGTTTCTGGAAATGGGGAGGGGATGAGCAGATTCCAGCACAAAGGAAAGGAGAAGGGATCCTAGTGCCTTCTCAAGAATTCTGAGCCCTTGGGGTGGGGGCCCCTGCCCAGAGAAGACTCTTCCTGGAGACCGCCTCTCTCTTTCCAGACTTCCATCTTCCTGTTTCATGAAGGCCCCTCGGTGAGCCCTGTCTGGAGGAACGCGACAGGTGAAAGGAAGCGTGGCCTCCCAGGAGTGTGTAAAGCCCACTGCGAGCACCTGGCGCAGCCCCAGGCCTGCATCCACCTGTCTCCAGGGGCTCAGGGCATCCCGACGTGGAGACCTATCCTCCACGCCACCGCCAGGGGGCAGCCGCGCCCGCAGGGCCTGCACACCCAGGGCCTGACCCAAGGATTTTCAGAAATCTCCATACCTGGCTGCAGCTCTGCAGCCTTTGGTTATCTCTCTTAGTCTGATTTAATGTTTATGTCTCATTTGTGCCCACAGAGAAGTCATCTGACGATGTGGATTTAAGATAGGGTGTAATGGGGGGGGGAGGAGAGAGCGAGCGAGCTCGCCACATGCATCAGGGCAGCCTTGCCTGGGAATTTAAAGTCTGTGGAATCCACAGCAATGATTTCTGCCTGTGGGCTCATTTCTAACTCTTGGTGTGACTGCTGTTGGGTTATAACAGCGTCCTGAGGGGAGATTGAAGCTCAGAGCCAGTGCGAAGGCAATAGTTCAAAGCATATTCTCATGTTTGGCAGCTTGCCTTCCTTTTGGCTTGGTTTGCTCTTTAATTTTTTTTTTTTTTTTTAAGGGCTTGGCTGATATGCTGGAGGACTACCTTGTCTTTCTAAGCAGACCTCTGGGTATACAGCACGGATGGTATTAGGATCCTTTTTGTGGAGGACCTGAGTGGCTCAGTGGGCTAAGTGTCTGCCTTCAGCTCAGGTCATGATCTCAGGGTCCTGGGATCAAGCCGCCCCCCCCCCCCCCCCCCCCCCCCCCCCCCGCATCGGGCTCCTAGCTCAGCAGGGAGCCTGCTTCTCCCTCTGCCTCTGCCTGCCACTCCTGCTGCTTGTGCTCGCTCACTCTCTCTCTCAAATAAATAAAATCTTAAAAAAAAAAAAAAAAGGATCCTTTTTGAGGGTAAGTTGTCTGATGTTACTGAATGATATCCTTCAAAAAATGCTCAGGCTGACTTAGTGTATGCAAAGAATAAAATCGGTAAATTCACAGTCCCCACCTTCCCCTGCAGTGTTCACTAAGTCTCTGCTCCTGGGTGGCTAAGGGCGATAACCTGTCCCACCTCAAGGCCTCTAGAAGCCCTTAGCCTTTAAAGCAGCTGGAGGAGGGCAAAGAACCAGGGCCCAAAATTAGGGAAGCAGAGCTCCTGCTGGGTTCTCCCTTAAAGGACCAATGACCTTGGGTGTGTCCTTGAACCTCCTGGAGGTCTAGTTAACCTTCTTGGAGCTAACTCTTCTAGGGCAACTGTCTAATGAATTGCACATGGCCTGTCTACACTGGAAACGTTTACCCACCAGCCAGGCCAAGTGGCTCCAGAGACATGAAAGTGGGTCCACCTCCCCAAGATGGACCTTCACAACTAATTTCCAAGAGCCTGAGGGGCAAAATCGGAGTTGTAAGGTACCCTTGCGCAGTGACCGAGTGAGAGAGAGGCCTGACATCCGAATGGGAGAGGCTGATGAATGGGTGCCCTCATGGTGCCAGATGAAGACAGCCTGAGCCAGAGTCTTCAGTGGCCAGGACCACACTTTGGGGGAGTGATTCCACCTGCTTCTGCCACCAAGGCCAGGCAGCCAGCCTTTCAGATGCAGGTACCCCTCCCCGACTCTGCTTTCTAGCAAGTGTGACCTGGGCCTGCTGGCAGTTGTTCTTCCCCTTTACAGCAGAGGTGGTAAATCAGTGGTCTTTGGGTACAATTCAACTCAAGGTCATTTTTTTGGTTTGTTTGGCTTACACATTTTTTTTTAAGAAAACTGGAACTAGGTGCCAACATTTAAAAATCGAGAGATTTCAAATAAATATCTGCATTTCCAGCTTCTCTTAAAACCCCACAAGTCCATTAAGGCAGCATCTGCATTCCCAGATGGCTGGCTTTGCTCTCTTTGCTTTCTATCTGTAGACATGAGGGGTTGACAGCAGAGTTTAGCTACCCATGGGCTGGGGCTGCTCGCCAGAGCCTCCCAGGAACCCACATCCATTCCTTAAAGTGTCATTATGATTTGAAGAAAACACACACCACAGATCATGATGAAAGACTTTAATTTTTTTTAAGATTTTATTCATTTATTCATAAGAGACAGAGAGAGAGAGAGAGAGGCAGAGACACAGGCAGAGGGAGAAGCAGGCTCCACACAGGGAGCTGGACATGGGACTCGATCCCGGGGCTCCAGGATCACACCCTGGGCCCAAGGCAGGGGCTCAACCGCTGAGCCACCCAGGGATCCCACAAGACTTTAATTTTTTAAAAGAACGTAATTCCTCCCAGTCACGTTGTCCTACCCGGTGAACACATAAAATACTGCATACAAAATATTGAGATTCCGTTTCTAAAGAGCTCGGAGCAGTACCCAGACATGCCGAGTGCATGTGAAACCAAATTTTAACGTGTGCTCACAAGCATTTGAAAGCTTATAAAAGCTTTTGAGGGGTACCGAGGGGAGGGTGCTGAGTATCTTGTCCCTTGAGGACTGGGAGGACTACAGATCATAGGGTGTCCCCCTGCCTTAAAAGTCACAGGAATCCCAGTGGGGGAGAGCAAACCAGTGGTAAGCATGAGCTGGAGCGCCTGGGGTACCAGTCGCTGTGCCGGCGGCTCTGACTCACATTCTGGGTCCCTCTCCAAACTTGTGATCCCGGCCTGCCTGCCTTTCCTGTGGGCAATGTGTGTCTGTTGGAAGCAGATAATTCACGGGGTCCATGAGGGCAAGCAGTTGTGGGAGGGCTTCCAGGGCCCATGACACCCTGAGATGTTGGGCAAGATGCGTCCGTGTGCATTTCTCGGGTATGGGGGATCATAGCTTTCATTAGATTTCAAAGGATTCTGAACCAGAGAACCATCATCACGGGGACTAGTCTACACCAGACCTCTGCCCCAGAGATGTCCTAAACCCCAAGCTTGCCTGAAGGCACCACTGTCTAGCCCATGAAGCCAGAGCTGCAGTGAACTGGGCCCGATTTGTCCACTGAATACGGCCAATGATGCTTATGTGTTGCTTTTAATTTATTCTCTGTACAGGTTCCCAAAAGTTATATTTTACTTAAATATTCCATCCTTCTCAGGAATGGGCAAGCAAGCATTCAGGATGTCCCTGAGCACTTAATGCAGCTGCTGGAGAAACGGGCTGAAAGCAAGGCGCATGTTCTCTGGGATTCTCGAAGGTCGGGTCACGCTAAGAAGACTTTCTTCTATTGCCCCAAACAACAGCCCCAGCACCACACCTCCACCCTAATCCATTCTCCCTCTCTCATCTGTGAGGAAAGATTCCCAGAGACTCTTCTGTCCCATAGGGAGAAGGAGAGTGGAGAGGAAAGCTGCTGTCTCTAGGGGTGGGGATGAGGGCACTGCTTGTTTCACAGTTCTGGGGGCTAGAAGTCTGAAATCATGGTGTGGTAGGGCCATGCTTCCAGTGAAGCCTGTAGGGGAGCTCCCCTCCTTGCTTCTCCCAGTCTGGGGGTGGCCGTCAATTGTTGGCCATCCTTGGCTCACAGGTGTGTCAGTCCAAACTCTGCCTGTCTTCATGAGAGTTCTCCCCATGTGTCCCTGACCTGATTTCCCACTTCTTATAAGAACATCATTCATATTGGATGTGGATGAGTACAATGTGTACTCATTGTAGTCTGATTACATCTGCAAAGACCCAATTTCCAAGTATGGTCACATTCACAGGTACCAGGGTTAGGACCTGAACATGTCTTTTGGCTGGGACACAATTCAACCACAGTGGACACATGGCCTCAAAAGGCCCTGCCCCCCCCCCATCACAGTGTTGCCACTTACCCATACCCGCTCCTTCTCCTGGGTTCCGGGGTGATGGGTGCACCCCTCCCTTCTGCCATGATAACTGAACCCCTTCCCCTTGGTACACATTCTGAGGTGGAAATTTTGTCTCCAGCATCTCAGTCCTGTAGTTAAGTGAATTTTTCAGAAATTGACATGTGTGAGTAGGAAGTGTCTGTGTGTGTGTGTGTCTGTGTGTGTGCATGTGTGGATATGGGTGTAAATGTGTGTTTGGGGTTGAGGGGGAATGTGTGAAGGGTGGATATAAGGTAGGGGGGCAGGAGGCAGGAAGGAAGGGGAGGCCAGAGCCACCATAGTGAGGGCATTCGTGACAAAAGCAGAGTGGTATTGTCCCGTAACAAGAGCAGGGAGGATGCTTGGGACAAATACGGCAATATTATGCCTCTGGTCTCCATCCCATAAAATAGGATATTATTAGGATATTGACTTTGTCATTTTGACAAGAACCAAAATAACAGAGGCCCAAGGAAGATCAGTTTCTCTTTCCCATAATGCCTGAGCTGGCGAGTGAGCAGGAAGGCAGAGAGACACTGCCCTGTGACATTGCCCAAGGACCTAGACTTGCTGCTCTACCACCTGAGAGGATGCTGTCCTTTTCCAGAGTCAAAGCTGGCTCATGACCTCATCCCCATCCAGCCACTGGGAAGGGGAAGGGGAGGGAAGTGGGAGACACACCCTTTCCTTCTCAAGAATCCCTCCCATGTCTATAGGCCGGAATGTCATTAAATGACCTTGCTAGCTGCAAGGGAGTCTGGGAAATATAGCTTTTATTCTCAGAGGTCATGATCGCTGGAATGCTGCTAAAATTAACAAGGCAGAGACAGATACTGGGGAACAGCTGGCAGCCATCACAGAAGAAATGTGATTTTAGAGAAATAGTGTCATGAATCCATCCTTCACCCCTTACAAGAGAAAAAAAAAACCCAATTACAATTACATCCCTACAATAAAGAATATAAAAGGCACATGATTAGAAAAATCAGATTGCCAAGTAAGATTTGTCCAGTTTTAACCGACTGTGGGGTCATGACAAAGGTTTTATCTCGGGAAGGTGTGTGTTGGGGCGTTCGACGGCCAGCTGGTTTTCGATGACATAACATGCCTTGTAGCTCTCCAGAACACGGGCCTGGCAATACGCCTTGTCCTTCTCCTGCCAGGTGTCAGACTCGATGTATACATTGAACGGGTCGTGGGAGTGCTCCAGCTTCTTGGAGCGGATGTAACTCAGCATGATGCCCAGGGTGAAGAAGCCGAAGAAGCCAAGCACCATGAGCACGTAGAGCGCCGCCAGCTGGCTGTCATCACGGCCGGGCGACCTGCGGGCCAGGCCTGACATGTTGTTGCCGCCCTCTTCAACTGTCCCCTGCCACAGTGTGGTCAGAAAGGGCATCACCTCGGTGGCATTCGATGGAATCATCCTGGGCTTAAAGGTTCTGCTGCAGGAGCTCGAACTTTCCGAGAAAGCTTTCTGAAAGAAAAGGGCAATCTGGACTCAGAAAGCATGTACCGGCCCAAACCTACCCACACATGCACAGATTTTTGAAATCTCAAGGGAGAGGGGTGCCCGAACATACACCTGAGTCCCTGGCATGTGCCACCTTGAGTCTGCACAGCACCTCTCTGGATTGATCAAGTAATCAGTTGGTTCCCTCTTATTTCCACTCACCACTGCCACCGTCTACCTCCTCGGAAACACCCAGAAAGAGTTCCTCTAATATACACACTGTGTTGTATGTGTGTGTGTGTCTTGGTTTATGTGCTATGGACTGAATTTTGTTCAGCCCTAACCCCCAATGTGGCTGCACCTGGAGACAGGGTCTTCTGGAGGTTAACTGAGGTTACAGGAGATCATTACAGTTGGGACCGTAACCCGCTAGGACAATGCTCTTATAATAAGAAAGAGAAATCTCTCCCATGCAAGGATGCTATGAGACGGCAACCAGGAAGAGAGCTCTCACCAAGAACCAAACCCTTCCAGAATCTTGATCTTGGACTTAGACCCTCCCAAATGGTGAGAAAATATACGTCTGTGGTGTAAGCCCCCAGCCTGTGGGATTTTGTTACGGCGGCCCGAGCTAAGCCATGTAAGTGGTGCTGGGTTATGTATCTGCCTCTCTTTCCTCCCTGCCATGGCTTTACGGCCACCTCGGCTACTCCGTGTGCCTGCCTGCCTTCCTTTACTTCTGAACGTTGCACGGTACCCATGGCACACACCCACTTCCTTTCTCTGCCTGCTGCCCCAGAACTGGATGCTGCTGTGCCCACTAACTCCATAAAACAAAGGGACAGCAAACATCCCTGTCCTCCTGTGGACCTGGAAAAATCACACACTTGCTGCCACTGGTGCCTCGTGGTTTGCACAACTAGTCAGACTAAGGTACTCTCGGGCGTCCTAGGGGGTGATGTGCAAGGGGTGGTGTGTTCCAGCACCAAATACCCTGTGTATGGAAAGAAACCCTACCATAGTGCTGTGAACTTAGGGTGCTGAGTGTGAGTGGATTGGTTTTTCCAGCTCATTAGGAAATATCAGCCCTGGGGCACCTGGGTGGTTCAGTTGATTAAGCATCTGACTCGGTTTCAGCTCAGGTCATGATCTCAGGGTCCTAAGATCGAGTCCTGCGTGCTTTCTCTACCCCTCTCCCTGCTTGTGTGCACATGCTCTCTCTATTTCTCTCTCTCTCAATGAATAAATAAAATCTAGGAAAGAAAGAAAGAAAGAAAGAAAGAAAGAAAGAAAGAAAGAAAGAAAGAAAGAAAGAAAGAAAGAAAAATAGAACCAGCCCAGGGATTCGGAGTTTGGGGTTTTAGGTCTGGCTCTTCCAGGGCTGACCACCATGGCTCTCTCTACCTTGTGGAGAAGCTCCTCATGAAAGAGAAGCAGAGGAGTTTATGGGTTTTCCGGACATCTCTGGGGCTTTTGAGTCTGCCCTGAGATCTGTTAGAACAGGTTAAGCTGCATAGGCTCAAGAGACTTCCAGGTACTGATTGTTCTACAAAACCAGCATTTTGCCCCATTCTAGCCATGGCAGTAGGTAGGAATTGTTTGGTTACCTTTTTTTTTCTTCGAAGCTTAGATGCAGAGCTGCTAGTCTGCTGGAAATCACTCAGGACGAGGTTTCAGGCAGCTGAGCTTTCCAAACATGATGCCCCACATTTTCTTTTTAAATGACTTCAGAACATTTATGAATGCACAGAACCCTGCCCCCAGAAAATACACAGCCCTTGAGCTGATAATGTAATTTTTTTCCCCTAAAGAACACAGAATGACCACAAGCAGGGAATCCTGCTACCAATGACTATCAGAGCATTCTTATCACTTCATGACCACATGAGACTAGAATTATGGTGGACAACCTCCAGAGGTTAATTAGTTTAGAACCAATAGCTTCACATAGCAAGTTGATTTAACAGCAACTCCTGTAGCTAATCCACATGGGGGGGGGAATCACAGAGAAGATCTGTTACTTAAAACCAGGCGGACTTTTCTGTGGCCGGAGGAAGCAACCAGAAACATCTGCTTTGAAAACCTGCCAGGACAACCGTCCTCAGCCTTGCTCTCAGGTGGTGGTGCTCAAATTTTGGCATGCTTTACATTTCTTTCTTTCTTTCAGATTTTTTTGTTTTGTTTTGCAGGGTGGGAGGAGCAGAGGGAGAGGGAGAGTCTTTTTTTTTTTTAAATATTTTATTTATTTGACACAGAGAGAGAGAATGCAAGCAGGGAGAGCCAGGCAGAGGGAGAGGGAGAAGCAGGCTCCCCATGGAGTAGGGAGCCCGATGTGCAGCTCGATCCCAGCACCCTAGGATCATGATCCAAGCTGAAGGCAGCCACTTAACTGACTGAGCTACCCAGGTGCCCCGGAGAGGGAGAGTCTTAAGCAGACTCTGCACTGAGCACAGAGCCCGACATGGGTTTTTTTTTCTCATGACTCTGAGATCACTACCTGAGCCAAATTGCTTAACCAATTGTCCCACCCAGGTGCCCCTGGCATGCTTTAGAATCACCTTCTAAAAATGCAGAGTGCTGGGCTCCACCCCCAGAGTTTCTGATCTAGAATGGCTGGTGTGGGGCCTGAGAATTTGCATTTCCAAGAGATTCACAGGTACTACTGAAACTCCTGGTCCAAGGACCCCCACTTGTGACCTACTGGAATCACCTGGAGAGGCACCTGGGTTAAGCATCTGCCTTTGGCTCAGGGCGTGATCCTGGGATCCTGGGATCAAGTCCTCCATCGGGCTCTCTGCAGGGAGCCTGCTTCTCCCTCTGCCTGTGTCTCTGCCTCTCTCTCTGTGTCTCTCCTGAATAAATAAATAAAATCTTAAAAAAAAAATTACCTGGAGAACTTCAAAAAATACTGATGGCCTGGATCCCTCCTTCAAAGATTGTGATGTCCTGGCTTTCTGGCATAAAGCTTCCTAGTTGATCCTAATTTGGAGCCAAGCTTGAGACCCACGGGACTATGGAACCTTAGGAAACTGACCCATCTTTCCTGCTGCAAGGTGCTAGGAAGAATTTGATGAGCAGAGAAATGATTTCATAAAACAATTTTCCAATCGCATTTGGTTTTTAGATTTCCTTTTTCGGTCTCCTATGTCCCTGGTGGAACCTGAAGAGAAGTGGCAGAGAGAAACTCTCAAGCCTCACTATAACCCCAGCTGCCTCCTGCCTAACTCACGCTGGCAGCTTAAATTATGTGGAGCCTGTCAGAGCCTTCATGCCAGGCCCGAAAAGCCAAGTTCATCAACTGCCTTTCAAGCAACGACTCTGAATTTTTAAAGAGAAATCTTCTTCTTACTTTACATTTAATTTATTGTATTGCTTTTGCGAAATGCCCTCTGTGCCCCGAAGGCCTGCATGCTGGGCCACGTGGTGTTCTGTGTAATGAGTCTCAAAATGAGTTTGGCAATGTGCTCTTAATAGTCAGCATGATGTAAACGAACTCAATCTGCATGTCAGCTGGGGGCTTATGTCTCATTCTTCCAAGTTCACTTCCATTATAATGCCAACGCACTGCCCTGTGGCCTGTGTGGCAGACTACTGGACTCACATGGATTTGAAGAGCAAGTAAGCCAGCAATCTTAACTTACAGGAAACTGGGATCCACAGAGTTGAGTTGACCTGCCCAAGGTCATGTCTCTTACCAAAAATACATCTAAAATTCAGTCTTGTAGCCGTGAACTCACATTCTATTAGTACAGAAAAAGGAGTTCTCAGCACTTCGTAGGGAGGGAACGGATTCTATATTTAAGGTCAAAGGGACAGAGGACCTGGCCACCAGGTCTACCCAGATGAAGACTAGCTTGTGACCTAAAGATGCCATCAGAAGACCCCTCCTCGACCGGAGAGAACACAGATTTTCATAGCTTGTACAATGACAAGCGGACTGTGGGAGGCACAAGCAGCAGGAACCAGGGAGGTCAAACTCCGAACACAACCAGTCTTATGGCCAACCTGTGCTGAACATTCTCAAACTGACCTTACTGGGCCTAGAAAGAGGGGGTTTCTAGAAGTTTCTGCTTCATCCTGGGTTTGAGATTCCTCATGCAGAATAGATACTGCCCCCAATCAAGGTTAGTACGATTTTCTTTTCTCTTCAAAGCTTAGGGCCAGAGCTAGTGGCCTGCTGGAAGTCACCCAGGGTACAGCGTTCTGGGCAGGTGAGCTGAGCTAACAGCTAGAAATGGAGTCCAACTGGGTCTCCACCACCCTGGGATTCTGGAAGGCCCCCAGCTGCACCCAGAGGAGAAGGGGACAGTGAGTGACGTCACGCTGTCCTGGCACACGCTGCCCCTTTTGCATTTCTCCCTCTTCTAGCTACATCGCCTGTCAGCACCGATAATGACCTGGAGGCTTTTAGAACAGATTTCCTAGCACTGCCATCTTTCCTTCTTTCTTAAGCATTCACTGAGCACCCAAGGCTTTTGTGGGCTGACTCCAACCAAACTTCTGCTCAGAGGGATTGATGCTGGGGGGCGGGGGAGAGAAGAGAGAGTGTCTGATACAGAGCTCAGAGATCTGATTTCCAGCCCTGGCTCAAAACCTAGATAAAACACAGGGCTCCCCTGGGCCTCAGTTTACTTATCTTGGTAAACAGGCATACGTTCCTATCCTCTTTTTTTTTTTTTTTTTTTAATGCAGATTCAGATTTGAGATCTGGAGAGATGCTAAGATTCTGCACTGCTTTTTTTTTTTTTTTTTTTAGGATTTTATTTCTTTATTTCAAAGAGAGCAGAAGCTGGGGGAGAGGGAGAGGGAGAAGCAGACTCCCCACTGAACAGGGAGTCCAATGTGGAACTCAATCCCAGGACCCTGGGATTATGACCTGAGTCAAAGGCAGATGCTTAACCAACTGAGCCACCCAGGCACCCCCATTCCTATCATCTTAACAGCATTCCTTAATAAGCATTTCTTCAGTCTTGAAATCATCATTAGGCTTTACTTGCTTCAGGAAGCAGAATTAGGGTAAAACCAATTATGGGTTAGCCTAATTTTGGTGAATATGATCTTATCAAGTTAAGAATTCTGCAAGCATGATTTCCTTGGAAGCAATTATCAATTATGTTCATCTTTCTCTCAATAAGTTCTGAAAACATATTTACCTCTAACAAGAAAAAATAAAAAGCCAACGGGGCCCCTAGACCCTTCCAGGGTATGAAGGATGGAAATGTGAACCAGTGAGCTGGTGAGAGGGACCCAGCCAAACCCAATATGGGAAAAAGGATAAGCATTCTGGTGTGAGGAATTGATGGGAGGATTCCCAGCCTCCGGAGGGCAGCTGAAGTCACATAGAAGGAGGGTGGATGGACTATCAGACTGAATAAATTCGAGAAGCCGAAGTTTTCTTATCCAAAAACTGGGCATACTAGAATCTCCCTTGACTATACTACCACAAGGTTCTGTGAGGCACAGAACAAACCCCCAGTTTTGCCACCTCTAAATTTTGCAGCTCTCTCCACAAGAGAGGCACGACTGCCATATTTGATTGTCAAAATCCTGCTGGTCCTCCAAATGCCTACTCCTCTGCCAACCTGGGGGTAAATGCCCCTCCCCTTCTTTGATCCCATGGTGCCTTGTCTCTACCACTCAGATTCTAATTTATTTTACAATAATTTATAGGCTTGTCTGGGCATTTCTTTCCAGGAGCTCAGGAAGGTCAGGGATGATCTTGCTCACCTTGTCCCCACGTCAGCACCCAGACTCATTCCATAAGAGATTCCTGAATTAAGTGGGGGTGCCAAGTATTAAACCCAATACAACTATAATGTGATTGCAAGTGCAAATAACCAATAAGGCATGATACACTCTTGAAAGAAATTGGGGGGTAGGGGATCCCTGGGTGGCTCAGCGGTTTGGCGCCTGCCTTTGGCCCAGGCGCCATCCTGGAGTCCCAGGATTGAGTCCTGCATCGGGCTCCCGGCATGTAGTCTGCTTATCCCTCTGCCTGTGTCTCTGCCTCTCTCTCTCTCTCTCTCTCTCTCTCTCTCTCTCTCTCTATGTCTATCATAAAAAAATAAAATAAAATAATTTTGGGGGTAGCTAAATGGAAATCTCTTTGAATATAATGTATGTTTTTACATAATAAAATGTAAACTATTTTTATTTATATTTATTTTGTAGTATTATTTATTTTGTATATTAAAATATATTTTATTATTAGTAATCTGATTAACATATTTATTATTATTATTAACATAGTTACATATGTATCCACAAACTACTTTATTTCTAAAAAGGTTTAGGGCAGTCAGTAATTATGGACGGTATAGCTGAATTTTTATCCTGTCCCTTTCGCTCCTGATAACCATATTACCATATTACTTAATAACTGCCACTGTAATATGGTTTTCTTATTTATTATGTCCATTGCTTGTTTGTCTTCTCCACCAAAACACAAGCTTTTGAGGGCAGGGATGTTTGCATGTGTTATTCTGCATATATCTCAAGGCCTAGAACAGTATCTGGCATGTGGTAGGAGTGCAATAAATATTCATGGAATGCAGGCATGCATGGATGAATGCATGAATGAATAAATGTCCCATTCAATTACCAAAAAGCCCTGAATCACCAGCTGTACCTTCAGAGACTTAGGATGACAAGAGTGAGTCCCTCTGATGTATTCACAACGTACTTTATTTTCAAAACAATCCACTTTCTAAGAACCTGTCAAAAGCCAGACCTCTGGAGATATTCTTAAAAGGGAGAATGCCTTCCTCGGACCCATCCTTAGCTCATCCCTGATGAATATATGAAATAGACCACAGAAAGCAGGTTCGGGTTCCCTCCCTAACAATCCATAGATCAGAGATGCCTGAGTGGCTCAGTGGTTGAGTGTCTGCCTTTGGCTCAAGAGCATGATCTTGGGGTCCTGGGATCGAGTCCCACATCGGGCTCCCCATGGGGAGCCTGCTTCTCCCTCTGCCTGTGTCTCTGCTTCTCTCTGTGTGTGTTTCTCATGAATCAATAAATAAAATCTAAAAACAAACAAACAAACAAAAAAACCCCAACCAATCCATAGATGGGAGTCTAGGTGCTTTCCAGCAAATCACCATATATGATTTTAAACATCCGAGTGATCACAGCAAAGTTCCCCACCACCAGGAACATAAATGGTTACTGACCAGAACATTCCTTAATGGAACCAGAAG